AATCAGAAGAAAAGCATATTAATTATAATGAGTTATCCCATATGATGGCTGCTTAAATTAGAAAGCAGTTTTACTATAAGTACAAAGAGCCTTTATATTGCTGCTAAGTTAACTTATGGAAATTACCTTAAAGAAATTCATATGCTTGAAAATTCTCATTACAACATTATTTGCAATAACAAGAATTTAGAAAACACATACATATTTAAAAACAGAGAAATTTTCAGGAAATTATGGTATTCCAATTAATTAAGTATTATTAAATGAAATATTGTAAATATAATTATAAAAATGAACTTAATGAAAATACATAAGTGAAAAATTGTGACAAATTTGCCTCCTACAATTATGTGAAGTTGTATAGGAGTAAGCTATGGAAGGGAACATAGAAAAGTGAAAATATCTGACTTACTGAAATTGTGGGTTGTAGATAATTGCTAATGTTCTTAAATGTAACTTTTTTTAATCAAATTAATATTATAGACCTTTTAAAGTATAACTGTCCTTCACCATGTCTGTCACATTTCATAGATTCTTAAAGAATGAATGTTCATTGGGAACCAGCAGTTAGCGTAATGGCTATGTCGCTGGACTCCCACGTAGTCGACTGCGGTTCACGTCCTGGACCCGGTGGCTTAAAACTCACGCCAGGCGGGTGTGCGTGCATGCCCAAGATCCTGAGAGAAGAATGGAGGAGAAGGGATTGCGGCGTGACCATCCCCCCTGGGGGGTGATTTCTCGCTTTCTGTCTCTATGTTTCTCTCTGTCTGGCAAGCGCACGCACCCTATAGCGAAAATCTCTCCAAAAAAAAAAAAAAGAATGAATGTTCATTGGATTGAGTTAACAGGGCTAATAGGGGCATTAAAACCTATTCCAGTTTTTTGTATTTCAACATTTCATTAGGGTGTCTTGTTTTTTAAATGTGTGTGTGTGTTGCCATTTTCCACAGCTTTGATTAAAATACTTGTAAATTCAAGATTAAAGCCAGCACCTGATATGTTGTCTATATTTGTTTTTTAACATAAAAAATGTAAATATGCACAATGTCTTTTAGTTATTCAATGTAGAAAAAGATATTTTTATTTTGTCATTTCAAGAGCAATAAATAAAATACATTTATATATAAGCAAAATTTCATTTTAAATAGGTACCAAAATAATTTTATTTAATATTATCTGTGAAAGATACTGCAATGTAGCATATGTGCAATCTTTTATAGTTCGAGACCGTGTTCGGACAAAAATGGAACGTGATATCTTGGTAGAAGTTAATCATCCTTTTATTGTCAAATTGCATTATGGTAAGTTATGAGCCACCTGACCTTTTCACCTCATCCTCCACGCTTTGTGTGCATTCAGATATACTATATATATACATAATTGTATGTTACATATACATATAGCAAAATCATGGAAATAAACCATTACTTCTTAGACAATTTCTAAGCAGTAGTCGTAGAAATGGGTAATGATAATCATTGTTTGTATTATAAAAATAAATAATAATGTGACAACTTTTTATAGTCCGTATGTGTTAGCTTGTCTAAAGACAAGGAAGATCCTTAAGGTTAATGTCCTAAACTGTTTTCATCTTTCTTTTCCCCAAAGCCATGTGCTTTTTTTCAGGGAGTAAAGATGTGGTGATTCTTTTTATGTATATCTAAATCTAACCCACTTTTTTTCCCCCCTGTAGTTAGTGCCATGTTTTTTTTATATTTTATTTCACGGTTAAATCTTTTTCAATTGCAAGTTTTTCTTATTAGTACATATTTAGAACTATTGTATTCCTGAGACTTTTGCCTATAGAAAATCTAGTAGTTCCATAATAAGAAGCACTGTATTTAACCTTGCTACATAGAAACTAAGAGGAATCAGTTTTTAAGTAAAAATAAGTATAAATCTATGATATATATAACCATTAATTTACTAAAATAGTATTCATTTGTAAGTGAATTGACTTAACGTAAGCCTAGAAAAAATTAACCGTGATGGATTAAACAGAAATTTTTATTTCTTCATTCAGCTTTTCAAACTGAAGGGAAGTTATATCTAATTTTGGATTTTCTCAGGGGAGGAGATTTGTTTACACGCTTATCCAAAGAGGTATATAATTAATCTATTTTTAATCTATTTATATGTATACTGTTTCAACTAAAGCTTTGTTATATTTCAATATTAGGATTATTGTATTTTCTCTAGTGTCATTAGAGTCTTAAATTGACAGATCCAAGCCAAAAAGTTATTTTCCTACCTTTTGAATTTATTCTGAAAGCAAAACCTTAATTGACAAGTAAGCTATCTTTGTCTTAACCTTGCTCCTTTTATAGTTCTTTCAGAAACAATAATATATCAACAAGATAACCTTAAACAATTTTTAGCTGAAATTCAGTGAACATTTTTAAGATATTTTTTACTTCTAAAATGTTACTGTGGTGGGACTACAGTGGCACAACCTGAATATACAACAGTTGTTACTTAACAAAATACAAAATCAGGGGTTGGAAATTGGAGAGCAATTTAAAGGAATTTCAGATTCTTTTCTATTCAAGCCCAGCAGTGGCTGCTTAAATACAAATCTGGTGTAAAATGAGACCAAAAATTAGAGATGCAAAAATGGAAAAAAAAAGAATACAAAATTGTTTTCTCCACAGTATATAAGTAGCATTTATCAGGTGACTGGTTGACTGATTAGTACATTTTGCAAATTCCTTTCATGAATAAATTATAGATAAAACTATGTGTAATTAGAATATTTATTGGCTTTTTAAAATATTTAGACTCTAGAGTGAAACATTAAAATAAAAATTATAGATGCAAAAAAATAAAGACAAAAATTATTATTTTATTTTAGGTGATGTTCACAGAAGAAGATGTCAAATTCTACTTGGCAGAACTTGCACTTGCTTTAGACCATCTGCATAGCCTGGGAATAATCTATAGAGACTTAAAACCAGAAAAGTAAGGAATTTTGCTACTAGGTTGAATTCAATGTAGCATAATTTTAGGAAGTCATAACAAAGAGTTACTTCATAGAACTCCCATAGCATTGCCTGAGTGCTTCACATTTCTGCTAGCACTATATTCTCGTACTTTCAAAATTTCAGTTAATCAAATGTTATTTTTTTCCCAGTAAGAGAACTTCACAAATTAAGAATTTTAACCAGAAATCTTAACTAGAAAAAATGTTTTTCTAGTCTTTTTCTTTTAAGTTTATTTATTGATTTCTTCTGTGAGGAATGGAGAGAGACAGACAGACACAGGTACCCTCAACAGCATCTTCATGCTATAATCCACCCCCACCTTCAGCCAGGCAGGATCACTGGCACTTGCATGCCCAGCACATTCATGGAGACTTCAGGACAGAGACCTGGAACCTTTCCATATGGCTTCAACATTGACAAGCATTGTTTCACTGATGTACCATTGCAACTAGTTTCCAGCCTATCATTTAATTTTAACTTTGTTATTTTAACGTATAGTGAATTTTTTACTCAGTTAATATACCAGTCTTTTGTGATTCCTTCCATGACTTTCATTCTAAGAAAGACATTAAAAAAAAAAAACACTCCTGTGATCAGATAATTTTCTTCTATTTTTATAGGTTTCTTTTCTTTTTTTTTTTTTTAATTGCCAGAGAGTATATGTCCTTGCCAGGGAGGGAGGGAGTGAGAGAGAAAGAGTGAGTGAGAAAGACAGAAAGAGTAAGAAAGCACCCCTCAGTGGGGTGCAGTCATGCCACAATCCTTTTCCTTCCATTTCTCCATTTTGTCAGGATGTGTGTCATACACATGTTCCATGGGTGTTCTTTTAAGCCTTCAGGGCCAGGGCTCAAATGGCAGTTATCCATGTGGGATCTAGTTCCCTTAACTGCTAGGCTATAGGACTGGCCCCGTGGGTGGTTTTTGTTTGTTTGCTTTAGCTCCATCTAGAAATATTTTTGATAAGAGGTTTGGTACAGAGCTAGCCCTTTCCCTTAGGTATCATTTATTGAAAATTTTCTTTTTTAAAGTAATTTCAGATTTTAAGTGTGCATTGAAGAAATTTCCCATAGTTTTTATAGGAGCAGTAATCAAGAAGCTGATATTTAAATTATACACACTGTTTTAGTTTGTCAGGGAATACTAATTTCTACTAAATAAAGTTTATTTTGTTTTATTTTATCTTTTTTGCTTTTTTAAGGCTATAAGCAAGAGCCTTGCTCTACCAAGAGCATTTTTACTAGTTTACATTACTGCCAACAATATATTAGTTCCCCTTTCTCTGCATCCTCACCAGCATCTGTGATTTTTTTTTTTTTTGTCTTTTGAATAGTAAGGTGGGGTAAGGTGATATCTCGTTACAGTTTCAATATGATGCATTTCTCCAATATTAGTGATATTAAACATTTTTTATACACTCGTTGGCCATTTGTATGTCTTTTTTGATAAATCTGTTGAAATTATTTGTCTATTTTTTAATTAGATTGAAGGTGGGAAAGGTGGAAGGATAGAAATAAAGAGAGATGCTGATTAAAAAATATAAAATTACAGTTAGATAAGAGGAAGAAGTTCTAGTGTTCTGTAGCACAGTAGGGTAACAATAATAGTCACCAATAATGTATTATATATTTCAAAATAGCTAGGAGAGAGGATTTTTTTAAGGTTCCTAATACATAATAATATAAATAAATGTTCAAGGTGATGAATATGCAAATTATCTTGATTTGATCATACACATTGCATTCATGCATAATATCAAAAAATCAGTGTGCCTCATAAATATGTATAATTGTTATGTGTTAATTAAAAATAATTTTTATAAAAGAATGTTTTTAAACAGCTTTATTGGGACATAATTCACAGCATATAATTCATTCATTTGAAATGTACACTTCATTGGATTTTACTATATGCAGAGTTGTATAACTATCATTTTTATCAGGAACTTTGAATATTACTTTAAAATGTTAAGTGAAAAGTTTAAATTATGTATTGTGACAGGTAATAGAGGAAATAGTCCTCTGGGACTCTTTTTATAAAATAATAATTTTTATTGAATTTTATGTATTTTCACTTTTTTAAATTTGACCAGAGAGAGAAAGACACACAGTGAATGAGAGAGGGAAAGTGAGGAAACAAGCCACCAGGTCTAGGATTCAAATTGCAGTTGGTCATGATGAGAATCCAGCACCTCAACCACCACACCACCTGCCATATCCCCCCTGGAACTCTTTTAAGTGAGAATTTAGAAATTGTTAGGCTTTCATATTTTACCTTTGTTTTCCATACATTTTGGTTTTGGACACATTTCATATGATTCTGTTTTTATTCTCTAATAATTGCTGAATTTACCTAATTTTCTCAATTTCTCTTTTTCTTTGAGAGAAGAGAGATTTTTGCTATAGGACATATATGCTCTCCAGAGAGACAGAAAGTGAGAAATCATCCACCGCAGGGTGATGGCCATGCCACAATCTCTTGTCCATTCTCATCTCAGGATTTTGGGCCTACACACACACATTTACCTCGCTTGAGTTTTAAACCACCAGGACTGGCACTCGAACTGTCGTCGACTATGTGGGACTCCAGCAACATAACCATTACACCATCTGCTGGTCCCTCATTTGCCCAATTTCTGTATCATGACACAAAATGTAATTCCTGGTAAGAATATTCAGTTATATTGGTCCTAAAAGAAAACACATGAGATTAAACATTGATGAGAAAAAAATAATTGTTAGTGTTTGATAACATTTCATTGAAAATATTTGCCATATACCCTTGTATTAGCATTGGTAATCAAGTTATATCAAGAGATATATATGTGCGTGTGTGTATAAATAAAGGTTTGGATAAGATGAAATGTAGGTAAGACTGCTTATGATGAGATCTTTCCCATAGGTATTTAGGTGATGCTATTAAATTGAAATAAAAATTAATTGGTAAATGATACAGGTAAATACAATCACATAAGACTTGAGAGAAATCTAGATTTTTAGGCCAAATGTTTTATGAACTGATAGGAATTTTCCAGATTTGGGTCAGCACATAGGGTGGAGGTTAAGGCACTGGATCCCACATAGCCAACATGTTTCCAGTCCTGGACCTGGTGACTTGAAAATCACCTCTGGGCATGTGCATGTGCCCAAAATCCCAAGAGAAGACTGGAGCAAAAGGGACTGCAGGATGGCTATTCCCCTAGGAAGTAATCTCTCTCTCTTTCTCTCCTGCTTTCTGTCTCTCTGTGGCAAGCACACTCCCTATAGCAATAAATAAATAAATTAATGAATGAATAAAAGAATTATCCAGATTCTTTTAAACTAGTACTCTAACAAGAAGTATGCATAAAAAACAATTATTTAGAGCTAAAAGAGAACTTTGTTTATTGAGTGTTGAATTTTTTTTTCAAAGATGAAGTAGAGGTGAGCCAGCCTGTGGCATAGTGATTAAGGCAGGTAGACTCCATATAGCAAGCTGCATGGTTTGAGTCCTGGACCTGGTGGCTTGAGATAACACAATTAGTGTATGTACATGGGTGCCTAAAATCTTGAAAAAAGGGAGAAATGGAGAAGGGACTGTAGCATGACCATCCCCTATGAAGGTTGCTATTTCTCTCTCTCTCTCTCTCTCTCTCTCTCTC